CGACTTTTCACGTCTTGCTGCACTTTTAAATCTCGAGAAGTCGAAAAGTTAAAAAGTCGAAAAGCTTTCGACTGGCTTTTCGCTTTTTGCTGTACATTCGCCGACTTCTCGCGGGTTTGCTTGAACTTTCGGCTTTTCGCCTTTTCGGGTTTTCTGTTTTGTCGCGCAAAATCCTTATCCTATGCGAATTTTCGCTTTTCGGCTTTTCGCGTGCCGTTTGGCATTCTCCGCTTATCCGCGCCCTCAGCCACTCGCAAGCACAGCCAGGTGCGGGCATCTAAAAAAATGTTCAATGTTCGTCTTGGGGTGGCTGCACCGGCTCGGAATCTGTTCTGCTTCTTGCGCTTACGAGGTGATGGCTTCATTTGCAAGAACGACCTGGCTGCACAGCTGCAGATCGGAGCAGAACATTCGGTAAATCGCGCGAGACATCCCTTCGGCCCAGGCGGCGCTCTTGAAAAGTGGACATGACGACGATGGCTTTGCGGGTAGGTTCCCCAAGTCCGCGAAGCTCCAATCCGCTTCAGATGCCTTTTGTGTCGTACAGCATGCTGACATGCTGTCACGCAGGCATTAGCGTTGACGAGATCAACTCCATGATGAATGAGGCCGGTTCCAAGCTGTGAGCTGATGACCCAGGACGTCGTACAACGTATTGCCATCAAGGTGGATCAAAACGGCGACGGACGCATGTCCTTTGAAGAGCGCTACAGCGGCACAGGGCAGACTTGTCGAGCTTTCTTGGTCGGCCGGGTGCCTCGACGTGAGGTTCATGGCTCTGATGGCAGACAGGAAAGAACCGAAGTCAAGGTGCCCTCGCTGGAGTTCAAAGAGAGTTGGAGTAGGAGGTCTCGTGACAGAAGCATTGGGGCCAGGACTACCGAGGAAGGAGAAGGGACATGAAAAGGCCAGGACATGTCGGGAAAAGGAGTCGGGCAAGGGCTGTTTTCGGGGACTAGGCATCCGTTCTGGCAGGCTGCGGCGGGGCATGGGAGTCCCTGAAGAAGCAAGCGTCATAGGATTGCATGAGCTCATTGGGTTCTGAGTTCTGAGCGGAATGAGAAGTCAGAAGCCTTTTGACTGTGACTAAAGCCAGTGCAACAGGTGGCCGAGCGCTGCTTTCCAAAATTTTTGAACACATCCGGAGATCAGAACGAGCAAGAGGAAGTGGATGCGAGGAGAAGAGGAACGCAACGATGAAAGAGAAAGCTTTCTGGATGTGATTTCTCAGGAGGCAGAATGGTCTCGAAGGGATCATATTGCAGGGCGAGTCGGAAGCCCACAGCAATTCTGCTTGTCCGATGAAATTCAGGCGAGCTTCAGTGGCCCTCTCGCCAGAGACAGCCACGAATTATGCGGTATCCGGGCTCTTGTCTGGCCACCGCACGTTATCAACCGGCCGGGTCAAAGACGGTGTGCAGCCGTCACTCTGCCGAAATGCCGAAGAAATCGGGTGAGTTGCAGTTGAGGGCAAGGAAAAAGCTTGCGGCCTCTTCTGGCCACACGTTGCTGGAAGGGGCATGCAGAGATTTCGGCAAAGTGATGGCCAGCTTTTCAAGAAAGGATGCGTCGTCGACATAGCGACTTGCATGCTCATGTTCCGTGCCTCGCGGCTGTGGCGCTGCAAGACTGCACCCCGTCACAGTCGCCAGTTAATGTCTGCTCTGCTTATCAACAGTATCGGAGGGGTCAATGCGAAGGTTGCCAGCCGAGACCTTGTTGCCTCACAGAGCACCATCAAGGCAGAAAGATTTCAGCCCGGCATTGAAACAGCTTTTGCGTGAGGTCCATCGCACTTTCCGTTTGAACTTGGCGCCTGCAATTGGCTCAAAGACGTTGGCTTGCCATGCAGTTCGTATACAAGAAGACCGAGGGAGTGTACAAGAAGCTCGAAGATCAGAGGGTTCATGAGTTGCACCATTCATTTTGTGTTTGCCCGTTCTGCGGAAGATGGTACCTGCCTCTTAGCGGAGCGATGGCTGATGAGCAAGGTTGGGGTGTTCGGAGATGCTCTGCACAGATTCTTGTGTTGATACTTGTGTGAAGTTCAACTGAAGTTCTCGAAGGTTCTCTGGACCTTTCGCTTTCCTCCTTCATTGGAGCAGCTAAGCCTGACTTAAAGCCAACTCAGCTGGTGGTCGTGGAAGAGAAGTTGGGGAAAGTCAGCCCCTCGCCAGCGCAGCTGCCTGCTGAAACTGGGGCTTTCTGCCCTCTGGCCCGAGGTCGGTGTGACGAATGTGCAAGAGCTGGCACACGCCCTGCGAGGCAGGATCTGTGCAGCACCGACTGCACCGCTCCATCTCTGCTACCAGCGCCAGGCAGAAATGAAAGGAGTTTGAACAATCGCCTTCGGGCCAGGAGCCAGGATGCTGACTTGATCTCAAGCTCAAGCGACGCCTTGCCCAGGCAGTTGGCGAGAAATGCTTCACATCAGAAACTCTCAGTGCACTCCGGCAACGTGTACGTGAGGAGCCATCTTTGCGTCGCACTAGGCCGAGTGAGCGATCAAAGCAATGCCATGCAGTATCCGTGCCAGCTTTGTTTGCCCGCAGACGGCAGCCGAGTGACAGCTCGAGGGGCGAAGGTTTGGCCGGTGGAGAATCGGATTTCAAGAGAAGCGGACTCAGTTTGCTTGAGTCAAGACGTGCTGTCAGAGCTTTCGTCCCCAGGAAGTGGAGCGATGCCAACATCCAAAGAGGGAATGCTCCAATCCTTGGAAGACCTCGGCCTCGAGGCAGCGAGGACCCGCCCCCGTAGCTTCTCGCACATGCTTGCTCGTTGTGTCGCGAGGTCTCGAGATGTCAAGTGCGGGAAATGCGCGCAATGCTGTTGGAGGCACGCACCTTTAGTTAGGTACTGGAGTCGACATGGAGAAATGTAAAGAGCAGCATTGCTACAACGGTGGTGTTCAACTTCAACTGAGTTTACAGGTATTTGTGTTCTCGGAAGTTGCCTCTGAGACGTACCTGCCAAAGCTGAGTCATCCCGCTCCACCTTTTATCCACCGCAAGTCTCCATGGACCCCGAATAATTTAATAATGAAACGGGCACCGGGGACAAGTCAAGCAGTCAAGCATGTCGAGAGCACGTGGGCGGGAAAGTCAACGGCAGGGCTCTGTGTGTCACCCGTGGGTAGTGTTCGCACCAATCTCTCTCAAGCAAGCCTGCCACGTCGATGGCGGCTCGTCTGTAACAATGTGCTTGACGGACTTTGTCAACGGGAGACCCTACTGTAGTTTCCTTGTTCTCCTAATCAGCAGATGAACGTCCTTTTCACTCTGCGGTGCTTTGAGAGTGCGAGGCACGGCGACTGTCTTCACTGCAGCGGCCAGATCTTGCAGCCGAGGCTCGTAGGCCTACGCCTAGTTCCTAGCAGCGCTGCGCTTCCTTTCCTCGTTTGGCTCAGGTGCGTGGACGGCTTGGCCGGAATCCGGAGCGATCCACAAGCTCGGAAGAATTGATCAGGTCGGCTCTCTTGTGCTTCCGCCTGGCTTTGACGTCTCAACTGCACTTTTTCCCAGGCAGCTACTGGAAGCTTCGTTTCCGGATGCGCTCGAGCCACGTGCTACGGCGGAGTTCGAGAGAAGCAAAAGTGACGAGGAGGACAGACTCCGCACCGGGACGTGTGTTTTTCAGCGAATCGAAGGGGGTTCACGGCCCATGAGCCACTCCTTTCAGCTTTTCATTGTGCTGAAGGTTGCAGCCGCTCCTCATAACATTCGGGGTTTGACAATGTTCGGGCTGTGTTCGGTCTGGATACTTGGACAGTCCGTTCTTCTCAAGGTTTCAGTTCAGCAAAAGTGTGTGCATGCCGTCTGCAAGGGACAGGGTTTCACGGCGTTCGAAGCCTGCAAGTTTCGCGTCCTTGAAAGATGTAGACAGACCTTTAGGGGTTACCCCTTTCAGCCCTGAACCCGCGAAGCTCACCCCAACTGGCTGCACGTTGCAGAGAACCTGGAGCCACTCCTTTCAACTCGTGTCCCCAGGATTGCTTCACTTTCGAGATCCTTACGCCGAGCCCGGAAGCGCTCTCGTTGTCTACGCTCTTTCTGAATTCAGAGGACTGGTGCTAATTATCGGTGGTGGTGGTGGGCAAGCCTCTGTAATTGAGTGTGTGTCGCTGTGAGGGCCCGCTTTTCTCGAATAAACATGAGGTTTTTCACTGTTTTTTTTTTT